TGCTGTTCATCTCTCGTACAGGACCAGCGTGCTGCTTTCCTCTCTGCTCCCACAGTGACTCAATGCCATCACCACAGCTCAGAGAGGGTATCTGTATGAGGAACCACACTCGAGGCATATTAAGATATATAGCAATGGGGTAGCCCAGGGCTGAGACACTGGTTTACAGCTGCCCAAGGCAGCAACAAGAAACATCTCTAATACAAATCAAGGTGTGAAGCAATTCAGTGCTTCAGAGAGATGTGTGCAGGACACTAGTGCAGGTGAGAAAAGTGAAACTAAACCACTACATCCCTACTGGAGAGAAAAAGGGCTGGCTTCCTCTTTTTTATTGTATTTCAAAGTTCTTTGCTCAACCTGTTGGGGGATACCTCACTGTACCAAATTGAGGCAGAAACCTGTGATGTTGCAGGTTAAAATGACGTTGTGGCTGCAAAGTACCTTGAAATATTTAGGGAAAATGAAATTAGAGAATTTTTTCAGTGAGTTATGACAAAAATTCCCTGTTTGTTTTCAATCCCAGCCATGATGAAATATTGAAATATTTTGCTGGTATACTCCCTCACAGTATTTTCAACAGAAAAAACTGCACTTAAATTTCAGAAGTTGATATTTCCTGCTTTGATGTACAAAGTAGAGAGGAACAGATCATTGCCAGACACTTAGAGAAATACCTTTTTAGTGAAAAGCTGAAAGGAAACAGTCTTTCCGTTAAAGATTTTGTCATCAGTTAACTTCTCCTAAAGTATCTTAATTATTTCTCTTTTTCAGCATTTTAATTATCCAGAATTGAATTTATCTTTGTGCAATAATAGAATATGAACTATGAACATTAAGTTTGTAGCTGATTCTTAAATCCCTTTTCCTATATAAATCATGTAAATTCATACCTTTTTTTCTGTAAGAGCAAAGACACATTTGTCATATTTTACTCTAGCTTTACATAAACAAAGGTTAAATAAAGTGTTAGTACAAAAGATTTAATCAAGGCACAGGTTTTTCAACCACACACTTACAATTTAAACATCTAAAATGAATTATTCAGTTTCTCTGGAATAGAAGAGCAAGTGCAGTTAGGTCTAGATTGATTTTATCAGACTGTGAACAGGCTGTGACATAAATTGAGAAATACTTGAATAAAAAAAATAAAACTTGAAATACTTGGGCTGAAGAGAAGCAGAAAATGTTTATGCTGTGCTGCATTACCTCCACATGCTCCATAGGGAGTAGTGTTACTGACCTTTTCTTTTTCTGCCCTGCCCTCTGTCTGCCCTCTTCTACCTCACACCACTGCTGCCCCAGATAGATAATCATCAATACCATCACTCTTGCCTCAATCTATCACTGGTAAGATATTTGAGAGGGCAATCAGCCCAGCTGGAGAAAACATAAAAGTGGAAAATATATTTCTGCTTAGAAAATGGAAATATTATATTTATACTTACGACTTGGACACATCAGGCTCTCAAGTGGTTCTCTAGCGGCCTGAGCACCCCTTTTCCTAATTACTTGTAGATATAATCATTTGCAGATATAAATTTTATTTATTATGTGCATGTGGTAGCAGTGTGCATGGAATATTCACAGCAATATTCACAGCATCCACCTCTGGGAGGTGGTCCCTTACAGTTTCAGTCAGGAACATATGTTTTAAGTACACAGTCTGAATAGAGATCTTTTTATTTTCCTTTGAGTCTGAAGAAGAAAATTGTTTCCTTCCACAATCATCTCAGAATTTAGAATTAGGTCAATGGGAAGGGCACATGTGCAGAGAGTGAAAGTTGCTGAGTTCTCAGTGTATTTCTCATTGTACATCTAACTCACCATGGGAACCTGAGAGATAGCTCGTCTGTCCGTGAAACACTCCCTGAACAAGTAGGCACTGAAGCTAAATTTCAGTTCATACAATGCTGTAAGGTCTCCATTTGCCATGTGCTGTAAGAAGCTCAAGGTAACTTTAACAAGTACAGAAAGTAAAATAAAGTAGATTTCTCTTGCACAACTCAAATGAAAATCCATGGTGCTTTGAGTACTTTTTCCAGCCACAGACAGAATGTAGCCATTTAAATAGTTTTTATTCCATAATATTACTTTTGTGCATAAACAGTCATTAACTTTTCATCGGTGTCTTCATGGATTAAACAGTCCCTAAGTACATTTTGACAGCACGGATTATTATGAACTCTTGTAATTTAAAATGGAAGAGAATTGAGATTGTGTGTGTGTATATATTTCCTTATTCCCTCTCTTTCATAAGCTATAAGGTTTAATAGCAGTTAACACTAGACCACAGCACTTCTAAATAACAATAGCCCTGCCAAATCTAACTGGCGTTCCAATTAGTCTGACAATTCTGCTAATTAAGAACATCAAACTTTTAAACAAAGGCTATCTTTTTTGTGTTGGGATTGGCAAAATGGAATTGAAGGTATAAGGAAGGCCGAACCTCTCCTTCCAAGAATTGCTGATAATTAAAGGAAATAAAAATATTTGGGGAGCATGTAGAAACATTTAGATGTGGTAGTTAAATAAGAATTCAGACACGGTAGTTAAATAAGAAGCATAGGCTATCTAATAACCTCTAATATTCTATTGTAGAATAGAATTTCTATATTATTGTAAATAATATAGAAATGGATTTAAAAGTGAAAACTGCAAATCCACAATATATGGATGAAAGAGGTTTGCTTTTTGGAAATTATTATTTAAGCCAGGTGCTATAGGGATTTCAATGCATAAGGCAAACTGAGACATTCCTTTCTTTGAAGAAAAGATCCCTTTTTAAAATTTTCTTTCTTACAGATATGGAAAAAAGCAAAGAAAAAAAAATGTTCTGCAATGAAAAATTTTCAGTGAATATTTGTTTTAAATCAATAATTTTTTAAAGAATTGCTCTAGTTTTGATTTTATGTAATATATGAAATTTTTAAAAGAATCATCCTTTCAAATCTCTTTGAAGTGATTTAAAGATCTTACTTTTCCTAAGTACCTTATTCTCAGAATTAAATTTCATTACAATGCGCTTAAAACACAAAGTTTTTTGCCAAAAAATAAACACATTCTTCTGAAAGAATTTTTTTTTTTTTACCACTTTACGTAACCAGGTCAAACTGCAAATGTCTTCTTCATAATCAGGATTTCTGTTTCTGTGGGAGTAAGAGCATTTTCACAGAGTCTCTGCAAAAAAAACCTTACCGTCACTTTGTGCCACAAGAAGCAAATGAATAACAGGTTGAATGGAAAGCAATATTTACTCCAAACCCCACCAACCTGAGCATCATAGATTTCATTCTTCCACCACCCAGCCTTCAAGACATAGTGCAGGAACTGTGAATCTCTCAGGATTTGGCCTCATGCCATAATGCCAAATATATTTCCTATGTTGCCTTACCAAATCATTACTGCACTGCCTGTATTCACACTGTTTAAGGATTTAGAAATACTGGGAGAGATGGCTATTCTAGTCACCATCTGCTAACATCAGCTGTCTTCAAAATTCATAGCAAAGTACCCTTTTGAGAGAAATCTTATCTATATGGCTTTACATAGCAAGATGTCTTACAGGTCCAAATGCAGAATGCAGACTCCAGCATGCCTCTCTAGGCAGAAAGCTCACTTCAACCCAAGTCACACACAAAATTCCTGAATAAAAGCCTGAACATACCATAGCACACTCTTCAGAATGTATGCCTTTGAACAATTTGTTAAGTGCAATTTTTTTTTTTCTCTCCCAGACACAATGCAGTAAGAAGACTTGAACTGCTATATGTATTTCTGAAAAAATAGCAACTGAATTAAACATGATCAGAAAGAAACCAAAATAAAGCTAGATACATCAGATACGTATTGTCTAACACTGGGAACAATGCCATGGGAAGAAAGAAAGGATTTCTAACTTAAAAAAATATGTGCATCTTCAGTACTGTTTCTGCTGACCACTGACTGTTTCAGCATTTTGCAAACTATGCCCTGTATGAACTTTTCCCATCACTTCAAGAGCTTAAAGAGGTAGGCTCATAGCAATGAGCATGAGCTAGATAGAAAGCTAATACGGCAACCAGCACAATAGAGGGGAAACACAAGCAGGAATCAGGATCAGCAAGCCACGCTCCCTTCTTAGGAAAGGGATTTTGCCAAACTTCTGAGCGCCTTCTGGCCGTGGCTATTTAAACTATTTGGAGATTCAAACTAGTCCTCAGCCAGCCAAAGGACTGAAATGAAAACTTCAGGCTGCCAAAAGATATATAATTTCCTTTGCACATCCTGTTACGTGAGATCACTTGACAGAGTGGCTACCTTCAAAATCAACACTGGATACTCAAACTGTGGCAGGGAGCACTGATTTTCATGGTTGGTGGACAAGGGAGCTGGCAAGCTGTAGGATTTACACAACTCCTTTGGGATTGCTCAGACATGAGGGGTACTAATACAGAAAGTACTGTTTACTTCATCTTACACTTAAGTGCCTCACTTCTATTTACAGCAGATCACAATGTCATGTTGATTTTGGAAAACTTGATTGATTCTTTAGACAATGATGTTTCTAAGAGGGTGTCCATGTATTTTATAAAAACCTCTATGCAGCTGTAAGTAAAATCTGCTCTTGATTCTACTTCTTTAATTGTATACTTCTATATATGGGAAATGAATTTGTTAGGTTAAGAACCTAAGAAGTTTACATCTTATAACACCATCGTGTCTGCTTGATCAGCAGATTTGGTGAAAAACACAATTACAATGGATTTTTATAGATGAGAAACATCAGTTACTCTGAAAGTAGATCTGCAGCTAGAAGTAATACAATTGTTCATTCATCACTGAAAAAATTGTTCTTTAAACATCAGGTTTTCCAAAACTATTTTGGGTAAATATCATTACAGCCCTATCTGAATTCAGCACCATTTTACAGCTAAGATGAAATTAACTGTGCCTTTCACTTTTACAGAAGCTTGAGGATAGAATCCAGAAAACAATTTTATAAATTCCTATTCTATTTGCAGGGAATTCCACCATTGAATCTCCAGCACTCTCAGGGGAAAATTGATCCTGTGGGTATAAGACCTCAAATGTTCCAGCTTGTCTCAAGGTAAAATGACATGGTCAAGATCCCTCAAAATATATAGCTATCCACGTTCCACTGTTTTCAAATCAGTGAAAAATGCATATAGTTTTGTGTAACAAGAAAAAGCAGGAAGGCTAGGTGATTCAGTAACTGCACATACCACCTAATCTCTCAGAAAAATAATTTCTGGCATGTCTATCAAATAGACGTTGGACTCTTCATGACTCCTAAATTAGCGGAAAAAGTTCAGGATCAATGCTGTAAGATCCTTATGCCTCCCTTTTCCTCCTAGAAAGTAGCATTTTTCTGCTTCATTCCTATAAACATTTAATTCTGGTACCAGCTTAGGTTTGTTTATTTTGCTTTGTGTTTTTTTAATCCAAAATTACCTTTCATTTCAATAAGGAAAGAGCTCTAGTAAGGTTTTTAAGTACATGCATTATCACAGGTTGCAATGCTGCTTGGCAGTCATGGATGCTAGTTAAAAATGTAATAAGATTTGAGAAGTGTAAGGAAGACCATCGTTCATTAACAGTTTGGGATGCCTGATTGCACAGCTTTTCTGCTTTTTGAATGAAAATTTACTTATCTCAATCAGACAGTATCTCAGGAAAAGTCCTGTCCTAAAAGGATTATAAATTCAGATAATAAAAGGCAAACCAAAAGGAGCATATATGTCCATTACAGTAAGCCTGAGTCATCCTGCTAAACACTTAATATTATTTCCTATAAACAAGCACCTCTGCTGAGCTGTTGTGAAAACTACCTGCCTACTGGTGTGTAGACAGAATGAAGGTTTCATAGGCAATTGTAGCTCTGGCATTTATTTCTGTCAGCTACTTGCCTTCTCATCTTTAATAGTGTACATTCAAAATAGGCTTTAAGTTTTTACTTTTATTCATTTATTTTCCTAAGTTGTTCATGCTTTTAAAAAGCAGGAAATTATGATTCCTGCATATGAGCTTACAGCCCACCTGGACCTAGTGGTTTCATGGGGCTAAAGAAGTCAGTTCTCTAGTCTGAGGATTTTCTCCCTGCTCAGTTTCAAAGGTCTGCTGCAAATAATAAAAGTGTCAGACTTTCTAGTAAAGTTTGCAAGGAACATTGACAAAATTGCCCTTACAAAGCATTTAACAGTAAAGAGAGAGAGAAACAAATTGGAAAGGGGGAGAGGGGTTGCGGGGAGAAAGAGCATGAGAAAGATAGTCACCATCACGTGGATCCAGACCATGTCCCATTGCCCTTCCTCTGGTCTTCTCAGTGAAGGGGCTCTCACGAGAGAAAGTCCAATGGGTTAATATACGTTCAGGTACAGGTGGGAACAGCCAAACACCTCCCGTGTTGCTGAGAGTTTTACATTGTCTTTTGCAATGAGGATCTGTTGCAACACTGCAGTCCCCTAGTGTGAAATGTGTCTGCAGGCTGTGGCCTCCCCGTGTGGGACCCAGGCAGAGCTGATTTTCAGGACAGCTGCTGGGTTTGGCTTTCCTTGTGGACAATTTCTTCTCCGGAACCCTTGCTTACTTCTCCATAGACCTGAGGTAAGTGGACAATAGTAGCACCTTTAACTTATCGGACATTCCCATCAGGTGCAGTCTAAATTCCAGGAATCCAGAAGGCATACTAGGGATAGGTGGGAAAAGTAGAGGGGACCGGTAGGGGGAATGGGTTGGGAGGACAGGCTGGGCTTGGGTGGTTGGAAGTGAGCAGTCGCTTCTTTATATTATTTGCTATAGTGGGCAAAGTCCTTCAGTGATCTTAACAGTGTTTAAGGCAATCATGATCTTTAAGTCTCTTGCATTGCATATTGAATTTAATTTATAGAATTCATATGTTTAAAAAACCCATATATATATATGTGTACACATGTACAGGTCCTAATCAAACTGCTCATCTTGTGGCATGTGGTTTCTGTAAGGCCACTCTGCTCTTCTGTGTCAGTGCTGTAGCCATGTGCTCAGAGCTCCCACCACTTCCTGGGCAGTCTTTGTCCCAGCATGACCCCACCATGTGAAGTGCAGCATGTCATCACTCCATGTGGGATGAACAACCCTATCACAGGGAGAGGACTGCAGAAAGGGAGGAAAAAGTTTTGGGAATATCTACACAGGTAAACTAGGGAGACTATCTCGTCAGGCACCTCTTGCTGAGGGAGATTTGCAGTGGGGAGAAGAAAGCAGCCCACTAGCTTTAGAGAGATTGCAAGCAAATCTGTGGAAGAAAAAGCATACATCATAGTTCTGAGGTCTCGTTGGGGAAGGGGAAGCAGTGCAGGTCTCTTCTGGGGTCACACACACCCACACTATTGATGCCTACAAATTTTAGGCTTTTTATACTTTTTTCATATATTTGCAACTTTGCAGACTCATAATACACAGTTAATACACAGCTCCTTATATTTTTCATACTCTGTCTCTTAGATATTAGAATAATAAGCTAACCCTCCTAATCCATATTTGGAATTCTGTTTAGCCTTATTCTTAAGAAGAAGAAGCCTGACAAGGGCATTTTCTTTTTCCACTAGAACTTAAAAGACACACACAAGAAATAGGGCAAAGAAGCCCCTGGAACAACTCTAATGAGGCAGAATTCAGGAAATTTCCTAACCAACTGGTCTTCTAATTGAACAATATTTTTTAAATATACTAATTTCTTAAACTTACAAAAATTGCAGAAATCTCATGCTGGATGTGCCCATGACAATGGGGAAGCTTTCAATTAAGACCTGCGTTTTAGCTCACTATTTTAACACTGTTGCAAGTTTTATTTGATTGTAGGGAATGCTATGTCTACTGAAAAGGACTAGCTGCAAGGCCCTTGGAAAAAAAACATGCATTGATGGGAGCAGAGAGACTCAAAATGGAAACACAGAGGAAGAACATCTGTGAATCACTGTAGGCATCACATCACCTCAAAAGGAGGAAAGTCATCATCGCTGATTAGCTGTTTGACAGAGATTGCCGTTAAAGGATGAATAGTCATGAGCAGTGTCAGGGTGTGTCCTGTGGCCAAATGTCCCTGCAGCAGCTTCTAAATATTTACAAATTTACTGATCTCAGACCATCCTCAAGGTAGGGTAACAGGGAGTCTGACCACTTCAGTCACCAAGTGTGGATGAAAAAAACATTTCTCAGATGTACCACAGGTCTGCTTCACACCACAAAGCAATAGCAATTATCTTAACACCCTGCAGTTTTAGGAAGCAACACATCTCCATGAAGGGTCTGACTAGAATATTTTACCCCAGGGAGAGAAGTACCTTAAATCCCATATTCTTGCAAAGTACACAATCACCTCTTGATCTGGTACTAAAACTTTCAGGCCATATTGTGCCTCTGCTTTTCTAGGTCATTTTAAAAAACAAAGGTATTTTCCATTTTAAAATTATTTGGTTCCACCATCTTTCAGCTCCTTTATATTTGTGTGAACCAGGAGTAACTCAAAATTAATAACATTATCCCAAATGTATTTTCTATCTACGTAAGACCTATTCTAGTCATGTGTTTCAGAAATCTTAGAGTAATTTTTGGTCACAAACTTATTTTTGGTTAACCATAAGCAATTACAGTTAGCAACCATTTTCAAATTCTACGTTAGTGTTTCACTCAAATAACTCCCATTAAAAGAGAGTAACCAACCCCTTTACAGTTCTTTCCTATTTGTGTCTAACAGCTTATTCAAAACATGAAACTTAGGTTGCCTGATTAGAGCAAGAAGTACATCCTTAATAAAGGGGGCCTAATGCAAAACATATTTTGCCACATTGGCAGATAGGTAGAAATTGTATTTTCAGACTGAACCAAATCCCCTTGAGATAATGTAGTTTATTTCTCTGAAGCCAGGGGTCCTTTTTGGTGTTTTCTAATCTGTCCTGGGAGAAGGACATATATTGTCTTAGAAGTGGCAGAAGAGTGCTTAGTCAACTGGATGGAAACAGCTAGCTCCCCTCATAAAAAAGTCCACAGTCTACAGCAGTATCCTGGGGACATGGAGAGGCAGAAGAAGGACAGTTCTTCACAGACAGAGACACATCACTTTAGTCCCATGGTGTGCTAGCTGCACACTGGATAGGCAGCTGGCATGCAACATGCATGTGGCACATGGTTCTGGTTCTTTCCCCAGCAGCTCATTTTGTAGAGACAGTACAGGCTTTACCAAGAAATTCCCAATCTAACCAGTCTGAAACTCACTTTGTGACCAATCTGAAACTCACTGAGGCTAGCAGACCAGGGTCCCTGCCCAAGATACTATCCTCTTTTGAATATTTTTGTAAAACAATATAATTTAAATTTTTAAAAAAGTAAATAAACCACAAACCCCAAACCAACCAATCCACCAAAACCTCAAAAGCACACACAGAGCTCCTGCCAAAAGAGGTGTTCCCACCTCCTCCTTAGCATTAAACCCAGCAGGAGACCAGAGCCACTGTTTTCTACACTCTTACCCATGTATTTGTCCCTTATGGTCTGACTTTGCAATTTAGGATGCATGAGACATACATTTTCCCCCAGTCTCACTCTCAAGGCAGCAGTTGCTCTGGTGTTTGGGCTGTGCATGTGGGTGCTATGGCAGGGAGGCAATCTCACGTCAGGTCATGAGTGTGGAAGAAGGAGTTTGGCATCATGATTGTCACTGTGTCTGTGTTGCAGCAATGTCTAGTGTGTACATTAGAAAGAAGAGAAAACAAACAAAAGAAAAAGATTTAGCTATCTTCACCTTCTGAACAGTTTCCTGCTGTCCACTGCAATGCAGAGGATCAGGAATGGGACATCATGCCATGATCAATATGATCAAGTGAAGTCAAATTTATTATACCCCAAAGGGCTATATTTATAATAAGTTTCTACTGTTCACACGTCTCTAGCTAACACATGATTGGTTAATCCTAGCTGTTCACACATCCAAAATAGAATGCTGATTGGATCTTCTAATTTTTCATGCACCTTGCTGTGGTTGTCTCGCCCACCCATTGCTTCTCTTTTTTCTCATTTTCTCAAACTTGCTGAGTCTTGATGACTCTTCTTCTTGTATCTTTCTCAAGGATATACTGACCCCGCTTCTGAATATGTCCATTATCCATTGTCTGTGAACATGTCCATTATCCATTATTACCAGCAGGCTGGGTTGACCATCGGCTGAATGTGGCCATTGTCTTGCAAAGACTCCTCAACCTGCAAAAAATCCTCAACAGTCCACAAGGTCCCATTGCTCCCAGTGAATGACTAAGGTTACCACACTTCAAAATGTTCCTGAGTTTCTTAATTTGATGTAGTTTTCCTGTTCCAGCAAAATGGGGAGATTTGGGTCAGTTAGGAGAGGGTTTGAGAGGATGATTTAAAAAAAAATAAATAAAAATAAAAAGGAGAGAGAGAAAAAAGAAAAAGAGTAAGGGCTCCAATGATAGCATATTGAACTTACTTGAAGGACTCACATTGAATGCCGTGCAGTTTGGGTCAGTCCCCCTCATACCCCATGGAGATTTTGGAGACCTTGGAGCTCAGTATTATTTCAGTAAATTTATTAATGACTCAGTATTATTTAAATGAATGTATAAATATTTGGTTGTGTTATTATTTATACATATTAATATTAACACATTATTATAATATTGCATTTGAAATAGTCTCATTTTTAATTCAAGACTAGACAGTCTATGTATAGGAAAAAAATTGTGATATGTGTTATTTAGCATATTTGCTGCTGTGCAGCCATTCTATAGAGTGCATTTAAGTGTATTTTGTGTACTATTCTTAACATGCATTCACAGTAGACAGCAAAGCAGCAGTTATTCGGTATGCTGTGAATGCCTATTAACAGCAGTACCTATTTGCATATCATGGATCCATAATACAAAATAGGCATAGTAAAAGCCTTATGAAAAGTTATTATGCATGCACAGTAGAGGCTTTTTAAACCTTGATATCTCAGCTATTTTGTTTCTCCACAACTTATTTGAAAATATTAAAAAGGTCAAATGATGGATTAGGAATGTGTGAAACTGTAGTATTACTCCTATGGAAGTAATCATTCAACAAAAACTAATTCATTTTTGGTTTTATTAGCACTATAAAAGATGTTCAAAAATGTATTTGAGTTGTTAAAAAAAACACACCTACTTCAATAATAAGAAAGGACAGAGAAAATAGTTTCACATATTTTGAGCACCGTGTGATATAATTGAGAATTTTGTTGGTCCTTCCCTAAACACAGAAATATTGCAACGTCAACCTTTCTTTCAGAATCTCATGGTATTTTTACTATGTATTGAAACAGTGTTGGTTACCCTAGGACTTTTAATTTTTAGATTATCTTGCATTTTTTAATGCTTGAAAATGCAAAATCCTTGAAAAGGTGGACAATCCCTAGAACCTTTAACAATATAAATCTTAATACATTAATTGCTATTGAGGATAATGGGATTCTACCCTCTCCTTTGTTACAGATTGTAATGTTGTGTAAAAATGAAGTGAATGCTATGAATAGTACAGCACTTGCTCTTTTTTGAACAGTTTCCCTTAAAGTTTTAATGTCT